TAAAATTTTTAACATTAGCCAAAGATATTTGAGGAAATTGGGCAATATCTTTCCAGAAAATATGATTTTCAAACTTTTCATGTCTTGTGTTAGGTAAACTTTGAGTTCACACGTTGCTATCTCTGTACATACGAAAATCGGATTCTAAAAATTATTTTTTGATGGTTGTTTGTTTTGAAGATGTTATTCTTTATCCAATTTTTACAATGGGAATAGTACCACGAAGCAATAAAATTAAAATATTAGGATGAAAACGATCCTTCTTGAAAGTTGGTGACACAAATATAACTCACATAAAAGATTAGGGGCGCTCGTTGCTATTTTTCATTAATGTTTAAATTCGAACACAAAAGGTATTGAACGTGAAATTATTTACAACTTATTATGTCACACTAGCTTGTGAATTTAATTAATAATTTGAGACATTTGCTTAAATCATACACAATGAAGATATAGTGACAATTATGTATAGACTCATTCAATGAACCCACCAAATCGGTGTAAAGCGTCTAGGCATGGCGTATAGATGCAGCGAGTAGTAGGTAGCCAAACCTCATCCTCACCAAATGGGAAATCATGATGACATCTATTCATGTTTTTGAATGTTATAACGTCATATTTGACGAACTAGAAAAGTAAAAAAGTACCAGAGAACATGAAGATGACACTTGATCAATTGATAGATAAATCGATAACCCAATTATCATGAATAATGCTATCTATCAGTAGTGATATTGCCAATTGTAAAGTATGGGCTCAATGCCACGGGCCCACCAGTTGACGAATTTCTCAATTCCTTTCTTCATAAAGAGGAAAAAATATATATGTGGGTGTTTGATGGGGATTAAAATTAAATTTTTAGTAAATTGTGATTAAAGTTTTTGAAGTGTGGGGTTGAAAATCTGTAGGACCCATAAAAGATGTGGTTAATATTAATTGTTTGACTTTGACTTATATTAAAATCTGATTTTAATCCGAAACAAACATGGCAAGTGATTCAAGCTCAACATATATAATACCATATCGTTATGAAAAGTCTCGACGACTTCTTGCACCTTTCTTAACATCATATATTGAAAATTACTACATAGTTTCTTAGACTTGGATATCAAATAATAGAACATAGTAACATTAAAAACTACAATTAAACCCAAAAATATAATCAAAAGGATAAGAAAATAAAGAAAGAAACTGAGAGAAGATTCATAAGGTCTTTCTGTCTACGTGCAAGTAGTCTCCGTTGTCTTCACTGACGTTACCTATTCCACCGAGCCTCTCTCCAATTTTACGACCCGCTACTCATCAAACATCAACATGGCAATCCATCACCAGTTGATATTTCATAGCTGATCCAACAGCAATGCCACTGTTTTTATTACCAAAATTTATGTAAGCAGGACAGTTCACATACAAGTGATATCTCCCAGAAATGAAAGTGCCAACTTTCCATCTGATACGTCCAGCAATCCTAATGTCGATCAACACCGTTCCTGCTAGCTGATCCTGATTCAAAGCAACGGTCAGAAATGGTGCAACGGGAACTGCATCGCCATACAGAAATGGAGACCAAACTGTGATGTCTTTGTGTCCTTGGTACGTAGAGGGAAGCAATGTGGGTAGGGTTATTTGTTGGCCATGGTACGAGGCGTATACATCGACTCTATCATAGTATATGCCGATTCTGTCATTAGGGTTTCGCGAAGAGATGGTGATTTGGATGTTGGAAGTGATGGCGTTTAGGGTCGAGACGTTGAAGGCATAGACGGTGGCGTCTTGGAGGATGAAACGGGGTTTTGTTGGCCGCAAGATGAGCCAGACGAGGAGGATGATGAAGAGGATGAGGATGATGAACGCGAGGATGATGGCCAAGAGGCGGCGGTGGAACTTTTTCCGGTCCTCGTGGTGGTGGCCGCAGTCCTTGGCCGACATGATTGCTTTTGTTATGTTATAAATGTATTAAGGTTAGAAGAGAAGGAATAGGGAGTTATGTGGACATATGATAAAGTCACATTTATACTAAACCTTTGTAGTACATAGGGGTCGGGTGGGATGGGGCCAGGGTGGTTCGATGGGATTTATTTATTTATTTATTTATTTATTTTTAGGTATGAAGTATAATTAGGTCTAACAGAGTTACCTTAATTTCTTAGAATGTGAGACATGAGCTTGTAAAAAATGTACACAAAATCAGACACTTAGGACTAGCGGGTTTGTATTAGGACGATGAATGCTTGTGTTTGATCGTCTTTAAAATTACTTTTTGAAAAGTATATTTGTCCATGCAAAAGTACTTTTAAAAATTACTTTTGATAAAATAAATAATTTTTGTTTACTTTTAATAGGAACGATTGAATGTCGTCGATTGATCCAAACCATCTTTTAGATTGAATCCAAAGGCTAAAGATTCATGAATATTAGTGGGACCCAAATCCAATGTATGTAAATTCTTGAGATCGCATGAAGATTAGGTAACCGACCACTTATTGGAATGACTTGCAATATTTATTTAACTATTGTGAATATATTGCATTACAAATATTTGAACTTAAATGGAATGAATAGATGAATATATTTGTGTATTTGAATTTAATTTTGGTGTTGTGAGTTTATTACACCGCAATATCAAATTGTTTTCTTGCAATATGGCAAGAAATTCTATTGGACTTTGTTGAATTCGATAATGTTTATTATGTTGGACCTTTAACGAAAATAATGTCTCGTCAATGTGCATTTTGATTTTATATGTTCTCTAAAAAAGATTAGACAGTACTAGACATTATTAAATAAGAAATAAATTGAAAACTTACTTATGATAATATGTAGCTCCTATTTGGCTCAATTAAACAGTTAGATTAAAATTTAAATCAAGATCAACAATTAAATTTAATTACATACTTCATGAGACTGGCTATTTTTCAACCACATACTCCATCAAAATCTAATTTTTATTTAAATCAAACGGGTCTTAGTTTGTTGCAAACATAGAAAAGTATGCATCGTGAATTATATGATTGAATACTAAACTAGAGAAATGGAAATATGGATGCCCATCATTTTGTTTTGACTGTATGATTCAAATAACGAATTCTGGGTAGATGGAACAACCATTTCTTGATTGAGGTAATTATGATGAGACATTACCCTTTTTGATTGATGGTTCCACTTGAACCACCGTGGGACCACCATCTGTTGGTGGTGGTTGATGGTGGATGGGTGGTGAGGTGAGACCAAACATGCAATGAAACTTTTCTTGGCTTTGAAGGTAAACAAACACGCAATATAATAAAGCAATAAATATAAGATCGATTATATAATCATTTTTCCGCTACTCTATTCGATTCATTGTTTTTACCCCCAATAATTTTCTCCTTCCCTCTTAAAAGGCGAGGTTTTACACTGGTAAATGTTTTACATAAAGCTCGTATTTGACACGCAATACTGCATGATAAAATAACCAACAAGTGTATACATATATGGGCTCGAAAGGAGATTTCTGGTAAAACCCCTCTCTTTCTTAACATTGTTCAGACTGTAATATTTAGGGATCGAAAGATGATTTTAGTGAAACCCACTGATCTTACAAGATGTTGGAAATGGTTATACGTGCAAGTATTTGCAGTAAGGCTTAACTTGTATAAGTTTGATCAATGGAGTGCAGACAAAATGCAAAATGTAAGTGAACAAAGCAAAATTATAAAGTTGAAAGCTTTGAGATGCAAATATTCTAAAGGGGAAAACATCCCTGATAAAAAGATGGAAAAAGGAAATACACGAATAAGAAGAAGGAAAGAATCCTTGAATTTCAATTTGGAGATAGACAGCGAAAGGTCCAATCCACATTATCAAACATGCCATAAATGTATGGGGTGAACGAACCAGTTATTGTTCCTCTGTTCTGACTATGAGTAAGCGATAAACATGTAACGGGCAAAAAAAAGAGACCAAGAGAGTAAACTATGAATGGAAGAAACTACCCTGCAAACTATCAGGAAACTAACACGATATTTAGTTCGATTCAAGGGGGTTCTGATACTGAACTTCAAACAACTTAAGCAAACAATGCAAAAATATTAAGCCTAAACAAATATTCGAAGAAACCATTATTCCGTTTAAAGGATTAAACTTCATAAAAACTTGCATTCATGCTTATGTCGAAAAGGAAAAGATGAACACCGTCAACACAATTCACATCACGTGTGTGTATCTTTCGTCCATGATCTCAGCAATGGGTCCCAACATACAAGCGACCATGCCTGTTGAAGAATGAGCTAGCAACTCACAGACAATGGCTCGGTGGGTAAATAAACACAGGCTAACAGACGTACATTCTACTAATTTCTACCGAACCACTATTTGACTAGATAAAGATTAACTTCTGTGAAGGATTGGCATCCAAATTCTGGCAGAAGGCACTATAACAATTAACAGGTTTCTCTCCAGGAAACTACTAGCAAAGTAAGAACAGCTGCATACCATTACATTAATTACATACTTTAATCCCGAGGACATCGTCCTCATTTTCTGTTCTCATCCCAACGTGAGAAACATATACGACAAAATCTATTATAAAATCGATAAATACTCACTCTACGTAAATCTTTGTCAACAACCAAATAGTTCAATCAACCACCAATCAAACATCCTTAATATCAAAGCTTCGTCTATTTGCATTAGAAATCATAACTATTTTGGTAATTATTGAAGAACAAGGAAATTGACTAGAACAATCTTAAACGTTTATTAGCTAAACTTGACCATGAAAAATATGTTCAATTCCAACTTAAGATCTATAAATAATGACTAAATAAGCTACCAACTCGTTCCCTCACCCAAACACTTCTCTCTGCAGCTATGGGAGTATTGCAGACGAACACATGTTAAAATTCAGTGTAAACCTCAGTTTGAGAGCAGGCTTGGGTGTTGGGTGAGACGAACACATGTTTAAATTCAGAGTAAACCTCAGTTTGAGATCCACCCAACACCCAAGCCTGCTCTCAAACTACTAATCTCATATACAATCTTATTACATGTGTATGTAGCATCAAATAGCGCAAAAATTATTAATACAAAATCTTACTTTTTCTTTACAAACTCACATTAACCCACTTAAAACCACCACATCTATCCAGCAATGGATAAAAACAAAAGCTGTAAAGCAAATCCTCACAAGATGTAGGCGTTGCAATTACACAATAGATTGGGTATACATTGTGAGATGATATTGTAGTAGTTCGTATGACACACATTCAAAACATTTCCAAAATCGGGAACATAGGAATCAACATGCAAACAATAAAATGCTTCTTAAGTGCAAAGTCTAGAAATAGAAATAATATGATTCGATCATATATAGATAACATGTATAAGAATATTAAAGCACTTAAGCATTCCTATATTTTCCATTAAAAATATAAGTTTCCCTCTCAAATCACTATTTCCATCTACAATCTTATGAAACGTATATATAGCGTCAAATAGTGCAGAACTATTAATGGTGAATCTTACTTTACAAAACTCACCCTTTCCAACTTAAAACCTCTACATTCGATGCACAGACTAATAGTCACGTTCATATCCAGCAACGGATAAACCAATAACTGCAATGTACAAATCGTCACAAGAAGTTCACGTTGCAATTACACAGTGGACTAGAATGCCATTGTCAGCTGATATTAGTTTCGTATGCCACACATTTAGAAAACATTTCCAAAATCTCACATAGATATCAACATGAAAACAATACAACGCTTATTTAAGTGCAAAGTCTAGACATAGCAATAAACATGATTCGATCATATATATTTTCACACCAAAAATGTCATTTTTCATTGGCAACAATTGATAACCTCTGATTCTTACTCCTAAAAGATAGATATCATTAGCAAAACGAACATGACCTAAAAATCATATTGAACAACAAATAAACCAGCCATAATCAAAATTTTAAAGAAATAGTAATAAATTTAACTGTACACCACATATATTATCCTACATCCATTGCCAAATTACATTCATCCTTGTTCAACAAATTCAAAACACCAAACAAAGATTGCCTAATGATTTAACCAAAAAAACAATGAAAATTCATTAGTTCACCTCAGATCCCTGCACGGCACTGCTTCGGCCCACCGGTTAACATACCGGATCTCCCATTACTTGTAATCCCAACAACCAGATCCCCACAAAACACCTTCAAAAACCTTCTTCTTGTCCGCCAGGCCTTCGCCTCAAACTTAACCCTAGAAATCATCCTCAAATTGAATCCCACGTTCCCATTCTTGCTCCTATCCCAGTTGATCCCATCAACTACCCCCTTATCCACATACCTCCCAGCTGCTGCGAAATTCGCCTTTATGGAAGTTTCATTTTTGGTATCTTGGTAAAATGGAGGAATGGTAGTATCAGCAAGAGACTCTGATTTGTAAAAAACGTCAGCGCTAATATGATCGTAACCAAGTTTCATTTTCTTATTCGGGTTCCGGGCGGTGATCTGGATTTCCGAAGTGAACGAGACTAGAGAATTATTTCCGACAGTGAAATTAGAAACGGAAAACGAATCTACTCGGAACTCGGGGAGCTGGGGGCGGAGGACAAGCCAGACAATAAAAGTGATGGTACCCATTATGATAATAAGCCCAATAACAAAGGCGAAGATGCGGCGGAGACAGGTGGCGCGGCGGGCGGAGTATGGGTCCTGGTAGTAATTCTGCTGGTTATAATGGTTATTCTGGTGACTGTAGTAGCCAGTGGTTGGAGGAGGGGCTGCGTAAGGGTAACCAGTGCCGGACGGAGGTCGATTGCCGCCGACGGCATAACCGTTGGGATTGGGATTATGGGTCGGGGCGGGATAGCCTGTGACGGGTCGATTCGGGTCATCCATAGTCGTAGATTATAGAAACATCTAGCATATGTTTTGTAGTGAGAAGTACTGCGTACAAGGGCATCCCAAAATTGCACCAAAAAAGTATGTTACGCGAAAAAAAAAAAATGTGGAGAATATTTTATGCCCTTAGATTTTAAAATATTAATTTTAATTTAAGTTTAAGTTATCAATAAATTTTAACTATTTTATAGGATTTTTCAACTTTTCAATCACATATTTTATTAATTTTTATCAAAATTTACTAAAATAATAATTTAGTTCCCATCAAATAGGGACTATATATACAAACTGTGACAATTCGTAAATGAAGTTACATTGATAAGTATAATAAAATGAATTTTATATTCATATGTTTAATAAAGAGATAATTGCAGTAGCAGTCCCAAACTTATCACTTTTTTGCAGACTTTATCTTAATCCTCACTTTGTGTCACTCCCAGTCTCAAACCTTTTAAAAATTAGTACTTGGAGTCCAAATGGATGATTTTTGTTAGTTTGACCGTTAGTTTACCCAATAAATTGACTTTGACAAATTTTGAAAAGAATAAAATAGTAATTTTGAATTGAAATTAAAAAAACTAAATAACAAAGAAAAAATCACTGTTCAATAGTAATTTTGAATTGAAATAAAATAGTAATTTTGTCCTCTTTAAATTTGGTCAAAAGACATTTTGAATGTCCAAGATCTGCTAATTTTTAAAAGGTTTGGGACTGTGAGTGGCACGAAGTGTAGGTTAAGGTAAAGTCTGCAAAAAATGATAGATTTGGGATCGCTGTTGCAATTTTCCCTGAGTTTTAGCATTTCGTCTCACATAATTTATCACGTCACATGAGAATTATCTCACTTGCATTGAAGATGAATGATAATAGCAATGGGACGGAGGAGGTCAGAGATTAAGATATTATTTGCCTTCCTCAGATATTTTTGAAGACACTACGAAAATGGGATGCTTTAAGTTTGATTTCACTTATTGGGACGGGACCGGGAATTTAGCCATCACCTCAGTAGCTACTTTATTGAATTGAAGGAGACAATCTTGCAAGTGCTAAAGCTAACATTTTATCATCTTGAAAAGTAAGTACTAATCCTTGAGAACCAAAAAAGTGTAATTAGAAGGTATGGAATTATTAATACAAAGTGTACTACATAATTTTCCTATCATTGACGTCTAGGTACTAGGTTTATGTCGAGTGAATAGCATTGTTCTTAAGCTTTGCCTATGTACACTATAAACCATCAAACAAATAATAAGAAGAAAGCACTGAATAAGTTGAAAAAAGTCTTCGAACACGTAGGTTCTATTCTGACACGTGGCTAGTCAATTTTGAGTTTACAAAGACTATTCAAAGAAAATCACATAAAACCCTTTTGAACAACAGAATATAAATCTGAAACTAATAAAAGTCAAGAATCAAAACATACCAAACAAAAAATAAAAAACGTGATTCGGTCACTTGCAAATTTCGTACCACGTCTCTCTCTTTTAATCGTATGCAGTCTAACTCAATCTAGCCCACTAAACGCAACCTCGATTGGATTTGGATCAAGGACTACGGCTAATAAGCAAGCAATATGATGAGGGAAAAAAGAAGGTCAAGAATCAATAGAAGAAACACAACCATCAGCTTCTGCATTATCTCCCATTTTCAAATTCTTGCACAGAACTTGCACTTGTTTTTCCTCGTGAATCCATTTCCCAGCTCTAAACCGAGCCAATCCATTCATTTTCACATTAAAATCCACTTCTTTTTTGCTCGAATTATTCATGTTCCCTCCTTTGATCCCACCATTATTGCAGTTCACCTTCATTCTTTTTGCTTCACTCCTCTTCCTCAGAGAAAAACCCTGCACAATACCCTTCGAAATCTCGCTATTTTCGTGCAATAATACAACGTCTAAACCCGAAAACCAGAGGTTTATTCTCCTGTTTGGATTCTTCACTGTGAACTCCATTGAAACGTTGGCATTTGATACAGAGAGGGATTTGACGCTAAATTCCGGCAAGCGGGGATTGAAAATTAGCCAAAATATGAGGCTAAATGAAATGATTGCTAGCAGAAGTAGAATCGAAATAGTGATCAAACACCGTACTAGCGGCGTTGCTCGGCCGTTTATCGGCCGAGAGTTTTCAATGTTGCTGGTGTTATTCATTTGATTTGAGTGCCCTGTGCGAATTCTAAAAGTGTGATCGAGCAAAAACTTGGGGTTGATGAATGAGGCAGCAGAGGAACGTTTGTGTATATATAATAAAATATTACGCGCTAAAAAATGGGAAGGTGGAAAATCCTGGGAAGTCAGTCTTTCTGGAGAACGACAAAAAAAAAACCGCTAAAGTTAGGGTTCAAGCCTTTTTTAGATATGCTCTAACTCAACTTTCATTTTATTTCAATTTAGCTGATGACTTAGTCAGAAAAATCAATAGTCCATTGAATCCGTTGACATGACTTATCTAGCAATATACATTTTTGTATAATAAGATTATTGAAAATAATACATTAAGCAAATGTTTTTTACGTCTCATCATTATTTCTGTTAATCACGTTAAGATTTCTATAAGTGTGCATTTGATTGCGAGCAAGAAATTTGAGTGAAAATAAAATAAATTATAGACAATTTAATTATTTAGAACTTATTTGTATGAAAATTATTAATTAAATATATTTGATTAATTTAGTTTCCAACCTATAAAACATTATATATGTCAATTTTTTATGGGTGGGTAAATGAGGGAGAATGGATAGATGAGAGAAAGAAAGAGATAATTACCAGAAAAATAAAAAACACTACTCTTTAAAGAAAATGTTTTTCTTTTTTTTTTTTTTTTTTTAAAGAAAAATATGGTAACTTGACCAAAATTTGGAAAATATTTTTCGTAGAAGTGTATTGAAAATGAAACTTGATAGATTAATTTTCAAAAAAAATCTTCCAACAATGCTTGAGCTGTAAGCGCAAATTCAATTCAATGTGAATACGAGGCCCAAAATGAGACGCCGTGCATGGCCGGTGACTCGGTGCAAAGGAAAAAAAACAAAAAAAAGAGCTTTCTGTTGCGTGGCATGGAACTAGACGGGCAAATCACTCCAAATTTGTTTGAAAGATTAGATTTGACCTTTTCCAAGTTAAATTCAGGCCTATCAAAAACATTCTTTAGTGCTTTTAAGTGATTATAATTGTGGATCTTACCAAGTGTGTAGATAATAAATGATTAATAAGCTGTAGATCCTATAAAATATGTAAATAAAAAAGTATGTTTAATCAGCTTAAATTATTTTAATTGTACTTACATGAATAATTTAATTAATATGCTAATATTTGGATTTTGCTAGGTTGTTGACGTAATTTAACAAGTTAGTGAGCTCAATCTAGGGATGGGCTTTTTGCCCCCCGAATTGGATTGGAACCAAATAGAATTGACCAATTCAACTCCGATTCATCTACTGAATAGGTCGATTTTGGGATCATGTATCTGTTGGGAATTTACTTAATCATGCACAGCTGAAATAAAACAATTTTCAATTCCCAAACGAGGATCTGCAATGTGTTTGGATAGAAACTGTGATTAGAATTATACTTTTAATGAATTCTGCAAAACCCTTTGCTGATTCACGAACTCCAATGATCACGATCTGCATTCCAAGCTGTCTAATTGTCCAGCCTCCAATGGTGATCCACA